TATTTTATTGATTTTTTACAGAGAGGAAGAGAGAGGGACAGAGAGTTAGAAACATCGATGAGAGAGAAACATCGATCAGCTGCCTCTTGCACACCTCCTACTGGGCATGTGCCCGCAAGCAAGGTACATGCCCTTGGCCGGAATCGAACCTGGGACCCTTCAGTCCGCAGGCCGATGGTCTATCCACTAAACCAAACCAGGTAGGGCTCTATAGTGCATTTTTAATGCAGTTTCTTATCTAATGGCCACCATAACAAGAAGGAATCTTCAGACCAAAAGAGGAAGGAGAATTAACAGAATATAACAATTAATATTGAAATCTTGTTATTGCAGTCCTGTGTGGATGCTGATGTATCCTTTCCTGAGTTTTCAATATGTTTGGCTAAAGAAATTGTCTTTCATAAGCACACTGAAACTAGGGTAATTTACTTATGGGATGACCTCCCAGCCAATTGGCAGTGAGAATCAGCTGTCAGGGACGTGATTTTTAATGCACACAGTTTCTATTGTCTGTGGTGCATTTTTTAAAAATACATATTTTTATTGATTTTAGAGAGGAAGAGGGAGAGAGAGAGAAAAACATCAATGATGAGATAGAATCATTGATCGGCTGCCTCCTGCACAGACCCCATTGGGGATTGAGCCTGCAACCTGGGTATGTGCCCTTGGCCAGAATCGAACCTGGGACCCTTCAGTCCGCAGGCTGATGCTCTATCCACTAGACCAAACCAGGTAGGGCTCTGTAGTGCATTTTTAATGCAGTTTCTTATTATCTAATGGCCACCGTAACAAGAAGGAATCTTCAGACCAAAAGAGGAAGGAGAATTAACAGAATATAACAATTAATATTGAAATCTTGTTATTGCAGTCCTGTGTGGATGCTGATGTATCCTTTCCTGAGTTTTCAATATGTTTGGCTAAAGAAATTGTCTTTCATAAGCACACTGAAACTAGGGTAATTTACTTATGGGATGATTGGACCTGAGCCAGCAGACTGCCTAGTAGTTTTGCACCAATTCTCCTCAAAATTAACTTGATAAGCAAGTTAGTATTGCAGTATTTAATATATTCTGGAAATTGTGTAATGCCATAAATATTATAATGGCTTCCTCAAATTAAAGGAGCTATTTTAAAGCAGTAGTTTCTGTAATATTTTAAAAACACAGTTGTGACTAAAATATGTTTAAAAGCTAAAAGCATGTGTTTCTGTATTTGAGATAAAATTTACTGTATTTTGTTTTCCTTAGGTTACTTTATATGAATGTCACTCACAGGGAGAAATCCGGCTATTGCAATCCTATGTGGATGCTGATGTATCCTTTCCTGAGTTTTTAATATCTTCGGCTAAAGAAATCGACTTTCATAAGTACACTGATACTTTTCTAAATTAATTAGTTCCCCAAAGTTATATTGTTCTTTCTTAACCTTAACCAATGCTCTTCCTTCACTATCATCCAAGAGATTTCTGGTATCTAGTTTTCCTCGTCCCTAGAAATCCATTGTAGGATGGATATGAGAGAGAATGGTGCAGGTGACTGGAGATGTTTATTGGAAATCGAGTAATAGAAAATTAGAATAGTTAAAAACCTCCTGTTTTTTGTTTTGTTTTTTACCTTGCCTAGAATTTTATCATTTCAAAGTAGTTATATTGATGAACTTGAGTTGATCAGAAGCTAGGACTGGAAATCATGCTAAGTATTTGATCAATAAAGCCTACAGGGAAAAACACATATCCAGTTTGTTTAGGAAATAAAATATTGCAAAACATGGGTTCATAAAGATAAAGACTTAAAAACCCAAAGGGATAGATAGGAAAGCTTGTTGATAAGATTTTTCTTCTAGATCCATTTGAAAAACTTAGCAAACAAAAAAAGACAAGGACTTTTCAGTCTTCCCTAGATGATATGGAAAGAAGTGACCTGTAGCCATACTGGAAAGGTTTCACACAGGAAAAAGTGGAAAAATGAACCGTAAGTCATCTTTAGAGGCACAGAGAACTATTGGGGTAGGGCAAGAGTCTTCAAAGTACAGCCCCTGGGGCTGGCCATCTGTTTGCTTTTGCTTTTTTTATTAGGTAATGATCCACCCACCTGTTTTATAAATAAAGTTTTATTTGGACACAGCCATACACATCCTTTACATGTTGTCTGGCTGCTTTCAAACACAAAGTTGAGTTATACAAATAGCTAAATAGTTCATCAAAATGCAGTGGAAGGACTGGTTTTGTTCTATCATTTTGTATAAGTTTTAGACCTAAAAATTTCCATTGTTTAAATCTGGTGATAAATTAATAAGAACTTCTGTGTCAAAAACTTTAGCAGGTCTTTGGAGGTTTCCATGTATTATAATCGTTTATGTATGTATTTACTTTTCAAAAACAAATTACATTTCTTAACCGGCATTTGTAGGCTGATGAAAACTTTT